GTGTGGTGCTATAGGCTAAGCACTGGACTGCTAACTACAAGGTCAGCGGTTCAAACCCACCGATTGCTCCAAGAAACCCTATGCAGGGTCACTATGGGTTGGAACCAATTTGATGGCACTTAACAACAACAACAACTTGACTAGGGTGAACCACATTTCCGATCATTTCCTTTCCTGTATGTTTCTCGTTGGAGTACACCCCAGAGAGATTCTTGAAGGAGATTTGGAGGGCCAAAGGGAATCAGCACTTTACATCAATCTGTCATTCCTGACTGCCTGCCCCTGTAGACTTAAGCTCAGATGCAAATGCAATAGCATGAGAGAGGCAAGTTAACCAGTTTCCACACTGTACAAGGTCACTTCCCTATAGCCCGTCATATACAAGCTCCTAGTGGTTCTGCTTCTCTGACTAAACTCTCCCTACTGCCATGGCTTCTTGTTGTTGTTGTTGTTAAGTGTCACTGAGGCAGTTCCAACCCATAATGACCCTGTATAGGGTTCTTGAGGAACGGCTGGTGAGCTTGAACCACTGACCTTGCAGTTCAAACTGACTTTGCTGGCTTAGCAGGGAGAAAGGGTGCCATGCTCCAATAAGTTTGGGGTTTAATGAAGTTACATAAGCATGTTTTATTTACTACAGACGTTTTCAGTGCATTTAACAAGCTAATGTACACTGTGAATTTCCAAGAAGAAGAATAAAGTAAGTAGTGTTTCCCAGACTGATTTGAAAACCAACCAGTTGCCACTGAATCCACTCATGGCAACCCCAAGTGTGTCAGGATAGAACTGCATTCCACAGAGCTTTTGAAGGCTGATTTTTCAGAAGCAGATTGCCAGGCCTTTCTTTCGAGGCACCTCTGAGTAGATTTGAAAACTCAAGTTTGCAAACTGAGCAAGTTAAGAGTTTCCTCCACCTAGGAACTCTTTATTTGAACACAGATTCCCCCTCCCCCCCAAATGCAGTGAAACTGTCCAATAACATTGGTGACACATGTGAATATGAAGCCCAAGCCCTGACCAGCAGTTCTCTTTCTCTTACTGGGGTCTGTGTAGCTCTCAACAGTGGAGCATCACCTTAACACTTTATATTATAATCACTCCATCATGTTTACAACTTGGCCCATCGTCAAGGATCCGAGCATGTACAAAAATATTGCTTTAAGTAAGAGTAATAGGTTATTAGAAAGCTGAGCTAGATGATATAGCTTTCCCCTCCATGTTTTATTGGTTTGTACATTTATCTTTATAGCACCCCTGTAAAATAACAAGAATCTCCTGCAACAAAATGACACAACAACAACAAAAATTGTCTTACAGCATGGGGTAGAGACCAATCTTTCTCTAATTCCTTGGTTGTTCAGTGGTTGAGATGGTTTGGTTAGGCCCTTGTTCACCAGACTACCTACTATCACCTCCACTTATAGTAACCACCAGCATGTTTCTCGTACTAGAAACTTCTAGAAGAATTGCTGAGCAGGCAACAAAACCATGAAAGAGTACCTTGAGTGGAAACCTTTCACAAACAAAACTCCCCATGCCTAGACCCTTTCTTTAAACGGAAACCACCAAGTTTAGCCTGGAGGGCTCAGGACACAGTCCCTTTTGAAAGCCTCACTCCCTCAGAGGTCCTGGAGATTTTTAAGAAGAAACAAAAGGTACTCAGATTAGTAGAAGTCACCAAAAGAGAGCCTCTGGGTGGTGCCAGCCCAGCACCATAACTCAGTTCTCCTCGTCCCCAAGGTACCTGTGCGGGACAGCTTCTGCAAGGTGGTCCTCAGATGCTGGAGAGCACCCGGAGAAACTTCATATTGGTAAATGTCTAGCACTGGAACCCTCTGGCATCTTCCAAACACTCTATCTGTAAGAACAAAAGGAGAAAAGAAAGGGAACGTGATATCCTATTTTCAGAGAGGAGAAGCATACCGTAAGAGAGAGCTTCAAAGAGTTTGTGGAAAAATGGAATTGAAAGATAATGGATTTTTTTCCCACACATTTTGAAGCCCCCTTGTACATATATATACAATATATTCTCATTATGCACAGCAGTGAGGCTTTGGAACATGGCTTTAAAAAGTCATCACAGAGCTATTAGAATCAGAAGCACCAGAAAGTAATGTTTTATTTAAATAAAAAACGATGCATCCTGGAAAACACAAATCTGAAGGCGGAGAGAAAAGGATTTATTAATCCAGGAGAATTTGGAGGTTTTTATTTTACTTTTCCTCTCCCTGCTTCCCTGGCCCCCCACAGTCCGCATCTCCTTGCTTTTTGTAATTTCCTTCCCTTGGCGTTCACATTTTTTTGATGTGAAGCTTGCTTCTGAGAATTCAGTGACAAAAAAAGTCAATAACATTCAGGGCCTGTTTTCCAGATGAAAAACAGAACACCCAGAAAATATAAATATTAATTTGCTGAAACCATGAGGATTTGTTGAAATGTCTTCAAAGCAGGCGCTGTGTGCTAGACGTTGGGAAATGAGGGTGGAATCTGTAATGGCCAGCAAAGGCTTATTTCAAGGGGCGCTTTCTAATGAACGCAATAGAAGAGAGTTGCTCACAGAACAATGAGATATTAATGAGGACTAATTTATTTAGCTCTATTCCATTTGTCTAAAATGACAGACTCTTCTCATCAACATCCTTTCAAACCACACCTTCTAATTAATTTAGGCCTTAATTAGCCTTTATTTGGTGAATTGTTCATTTTGAGACAAGCTTCCTGTGGGGGGCTCAAACATTCAAATTACCTTCTTTGCTACACACAAAAGACTAATTCAGTGGCTAGTGCTTCACATACAGGGCAGCCATCTGCAGTTTTAGGCCTCTGGTAGAAGGGGGAAAGTGGTTTCTTTGATTGTTCACAACAGTTTCAGTGCACACAGTATCCTCCAAAGAAAACCATTCACATGCAACAAGTTTAATTAGCAGAAACACATTTTGTCTAGTGCTCTGGCTGACTCCGTAATTGCGGGTCTGATATTACATATACGCTTAGAACGGATGGCACCGTCTGATGAACACAATATAATTTTAGGTATCGCAAGTATTTCGTGGATTTCGGTGGGACTTTGCAAAGCCCAAAGAACACGGGAAAACAATTTCCCCAGCTGCTCAAAGCAGGCAAACAATAGGCACCGAGAAGATAAATCTTGGGCCATTTTTCCCCTGCATGTTGGATTGGACCACATGTCTAAGTACCATGCTGCAATTAATGCAACTGTTCAGTAAACCCAGTATACTTCCCACTGGTGCTCCTTTTAGAGCATGGTTTGTCCTCCTCACTGTCATGGCCAGCAGGACCACAACAGAATAAATGTTCAATATGTTAGAACTCAGTGCTTGTGCAGTTTTGTGTTGAGGACTGGGAGGCGAAGAAGGCAGAAAGAGAGAGAAATATAAAGAACCCTTAGAACATAATTAAAACTTTCATTTTTCACATGTAAATATCTTGACAGTAGAAACATACTATGTAGAAACTAAATGGGACAGTGTGGCCTCAACACTCCTTTGGAAAGAGAATGACAGGGTTTCAGCTCCCTTACTTTGGAAGCATCTTCACGACAGACAAGTCGATAGAAAAGGACATCTTGTTTGATAGAGTGAAGGCAGTGAAAACGCGGGAAGCCCTCAATGAGGTGGATTGAAACAGAGTCGCAACAGTGAGCTCAATTACATCAAAGATCATGAAAATGGGCAGGACCAGATTTCTATGATTCTCATGAGTCAGAACTGACTTGAGAGTAATTAACATCAGCAACAGAAGAAACAGCAAAATTGTTACTGTTAAGTGCCATTGAGTTGGTTCCAACTCACAGTGACCCTGTATAGGGTTTCTGAGGTTTTAAATCTTTGTGGGAACAGAAAACCTCATATCTTTCTCCTGTGGAGAGGCTGGTGGGCTCGAACCGCTGACTTTGTGGTTCTGAGTTCAGTGCTTATCATATGGCATGACCAGTCACAGAGGAGGAAGCTGAGCCTGAAAGGAATAGAGACCAGGTCCCCTGGTGCCTGATGGTGGTGATTATGTGCCGAGGAGTCAGTTCCAACTCATAGTGACCCTGTACAGGGTTTCCGAGGTTGTAAATCTTTATGGGAGCAGAAACTTCATCTTTCTCCCATGGAACAGCTGGTGGTTTCCAACTGCTGTTCCTGAGGTTAGCAGCCCAATTTGTAACCATTACGCTAACAGAGCTCCTTTCCCTGGCACCTATACTGGAGCAAACCACCAAAATCCTGGGTCTGAGCTAATCCTGTATTCCCATTCCTGCAGCAGAATGGAAGGCTAACAGTGAGTCAAAAATGAATGAATGGTACTCTGGTTGTTGAGAGCCATAGAGTCAGCTCTGACTCATAGCAACCCTTATAGAGTTTCCGTGGAGTAGCTGGTGAGTTCAAACCACCAACCTTGCAGTTAGTAGTCCGGTGCTTATCTTACAATGAAGCCAAATGTGTTCTCTGCCACATCCCCAATACCAATAACTGTGCCTGGCTGCCAAGAATTTATACAGCACCCTTGGTCAAACTAGAAAACACGTCCTTCTCATGAATGTGAAAGGTGGGCACAAGGTTTGACTGAACACAACTGGATTACCACTCGTGCCCTCATTAAATGTCTTTTTGCAGTTTCAGTGAGTTCTCACCCTGAATGAAGTTGGCAGTAAATATAAAGGAAACATGTCCATAGGTAATTACACGTCCAAAGTTCACACTCACTGATTGAATATTATCATTCTATTTTATAAACTCAATTCCACTTTAAAAAAATAAAGTAAAAACATTTCCCATCTCTTTTGCAATTTTCAAAGTAAAATATTTTTTATAATAGCATCATTTAAAGTTTTGTTGCATACAGTATTATAAATTTATTACCAGAATCTTTCTTAGATTTTCTTGAAACCTGCTGTGTATGCATATATACATATATTTAGAGTATATATGGGATATAATATAGAATATTGTATGTTTTTAACATTAGTTTTAGCTAATAATTTTTTTTTCAGTGCTATGAAAGTTGACAGTAAAACTAATCAATGGATTTCTTTGTACCTGGACTATATCCATGCTGAGTGGATAGAGACACACATTGTCTCCAACACATTTTTCAACACGGTAATTCATATAGATTGCCATAATTAAAGGACATTATCATTTGGGTGCCCTGGTAGAGTAGGAGGTTACATTACACATTGGGTTGTTAACCATGAGGTCAGCAGTTCGAATTCACCAGCTGCTCCAAAGGAGAAAGATGAAGCTCTTTGCTATACAGGGTCACTATGAACCAGAACAGACTCAATGGCACATGATCACCATTACAATTCAGGTACTCTGAATTATATATATATCAACAATAAGGCTTGATAAAGATTCCATAGTCTTGGTGATTCCACAGATGCTCTACACATACGCATTATCACCCTTTGTAAGAGTCTATCAATTTGCTGACAGACAACACAAAAGAATGACTTTAACTGAAATTTAGTCCCTCACAGATTGTTGTTGTTAGGTGCCATCAAGTCGGTGCTGACCCATAACAATCTTATGCCCAGCACAACCAATCACTGCCCGATCCTGGGCCAACCTCACGACTGTTGCCATGCTTGAGTCCATCGATGCTGTCACTTGGCCAATCCATCTCGTTGGGGCTCTTCCTCATTTTTTCTGACCCTCACTTTACCAAACATGATATCCTTATCCAAATACTGGTCCCTTCTGACAATATGTCCAAAGTATGAGAGACCAAGTTTGGCCATCTTAGCCTCTAAAGAGCACTCTGGCTGCACTTCTTCCAACACAGATCTGTTGGTTCTTTTGCAGCCCATGGCACTTTCAATATTCTCCTCCAACACCCTCACTCAAAAGCATCAATTGTTCAATTGATTGGTGGTGGTGGTTATGTGCCATGGAGTCGGTTCCGACTCATAGTGACCACCTGTATAGGGTTTCCGAGGCTGTAAATCTTTATGGGAGCAGAAAGCCTCATCTTTCTCCCGCGGAAGAGCTGGTAGTTTCGAACTGCTGACCTCGTGGTTCACAGCCCAATTCGTAACCACTACTCTACCAGAGCTCAATTGATTAGGAGGCCACAATTGGGCATTCAAAGCACAGGCTCTGGGGAAAGGTCCTTGTTTCCTTTCAGCATCTGTAAACTCAGAATTCCTTGGAGAGCTCCGTGAGTCTTGGCTTCACTCTTTTCCTTGGATCTAGGAACCCCATGTCCGAAGGATGCACTCCACCTCCAGTTCTTGTTTCTTGGTAGTAGTAGGTGCCTTCTCTCATTTTCTGCTCACTTCTCTCATTTTAAAGCTCAAAACAGATTGGTACAAGATACAATCTAATCCTATAGATTGCACCTGACCTCATTATCATGATTGTTGTTGTTGTTAAGTGCTGTCAAGTTGGTTCAGAACCTTGTGGTTAGCAGTCCAATGCTTACTCTACAATACCATGCCAGAACTCCTATTAACATCCTAACAGTGAGGGTATACAGCACATTGGATAAGTACACCAGATCTCAGCTAATTACATCAGAGCCCATCATAGGGATGGTTGTACTGCATTAGATTTCATCATGGGGGTGAGAACTACATCTTAACCACCAAACCACTTGAATCCAGGCCCAGCTAAGTTCACATGAAACCTTAACTATTACAGCAGGATACCTTAGTGTGTCTGTGTTGACTTAGCAGACTGTCAATACCTAAGGTCCTTCTCCTCTTCAAGAACTAACATCACATAAATGATTTTGGTTTTGAGTTTCATAACTGAAAATTGTGTTAACATTGGCAGCATCCCAGAAAAGGATGCCGTTGGTTGCTGTTGAGTTGGCCCTGGCTCGTGGTGACCTGATGTCCTGCACTGTCTTCATGGTGGCTGGTAGGTATGAGTCCTGTTGTGTCACTCTAGCTAACCAAGGGTCATAGTCATCTTCACCCACCATCACCTGGACCAACCATTATGTCCTTTTTTGAAAACAGTCTTGCCTGATGGCATGTCCAAAGTAAGTGAGCCCCAATACTGATATCCTCACTTCTAAGGAGGATTCTGGTTATATTTATACTGAGAAATAAAAAATAAAAATAAAAAAACTCATGGTGTTTTAAAATGATGGAGGTTAAGAATGCTCTTGCTTATTAAAATTACAGCTTCTCTAATCCCTCCATTATCAGTCCTGGTTGCTATGGCAATCTAAGATAAGCACTGGGCTACTAACTGCAAGGCCTAGATTTCAAACCCACTAGGTCCTCTTCAGAAACCCTAGATAGGGTCAGAACCAATTCCATAGCACTTAACAACAACAACAAATTATATGTAGGTATGCATGCTGTTGTTAGGTGTTATCCAGTGGTTCTGACTCATAATGACCCTGTATAGGGTTTCCGAGGCTGTAAATCTTTACAGGACTAGAAAGTCTCATCTTTCTCCTTATGAGTGGCTCATAGGTTTGAACAGTTTAGTAGTCCAGTGCATATGCTACAGCATACTAGCGCTATAGGATACACAGTGGAATTCAAATCACCAGGTCGGCGGTTAGAAGCCACAGCCAATCTGTGGGAAAAAGCTGTAAGACCTTCTGCCTCTGTCAGAATTTACAGCCTTGGAAAACCTATACAGGGTAGCTATGAATCAGAACTGACTTGATGATACTTGTATATATCATCTTTTGGGGCAAAGACCAGAGAACAGGATCAGCATTTATCAAACTGAAAGGCCTGATGAAAAGTAATCTAGTCTTGACTTGAAATACTGAAGGATTCTATGGGCAGAATATTGAATGATGCAGAAAGTATCAAAAGAAGATGGAAGGAATACACTAAATCATTGTACCAAAAGGAAATAGTTAATGGTCCACCATTTCAAGAGGTAGCATATGATCAAGAGCCAATGATCCAGAAGGAAAAAGTCCAAGGTGCACTGAAGACATTGGCAAAAACAAGGCTCCGGGGATTGATGGAATGGAATACAAATTGAAATCTTTCAACAAACTGATGCAGCACTGGAGGCACTCAGTCATCTATGCCAAGAAATTTGGAAGATAGCTACTTGACCAGATGATTGGAAGATACCCTTTTTGTCCCCATTCAAAAGAGAGGTGACCAGACAGAATTTGGAAATCTTAAATCATAGGACAATAACATTAATATCACATGCTAGAAAATGT